GCAGAGTTTTTTATTTTTATTTTGGATGGGTCCCACCTATAAGCGGCATGCACAAAGAAGGGCAAAATTGTCCAGAAAATGTACCGTAGACGGTCAAAGGCCTTTGACCGGATGGAAACGGAGCAGAAGGGTATTTTTATAACACCACCTAACGGTAGAGGGGTAAATTTGAGCATACCCGGAAATTAGGGGCAAATGCCAGGTGGTGGCTCAAGTTAGGGGGAGAAATGGAATTGTCCCTTTTTTAATACTAGGCCACAATAACCATGGGCTAATATTTACTGTAGTGACACTAGGCCTCCTACGGGCCATAGAAATAGTGGGCCTTCTACGGGCCGTAGAAACAATGGGCCTTCTACGGGCCGTAGAAACAATGGGCCTTCTGCGGGCCGTAGAAATAATGGGCCTTCTGCGGGCCGTATCATCAATGGGCCTTATGCGACCGTATGATCAATTGGCCAAACATGATCCAAACAGACCGCATTATGGCCGTAAACAGGCTAGAGTTGGAATCGTCCATTCATGGGCCGACCATAACGGGCCATAGTTAATAGGCCGAATTTGATGACGCTACGAAAACGGCCCAACGTATTAACGGACCACAAACGGGCCGACTGTAACCACGAGCTAAATTTGGCCCACAAGCAGAAAACGACAGTAATGGGCCGTAAGTAAACGATGCTAGAAATGAGCCCAAGAATAAATGGGCTCTGAGAAGGACGAAAGATAAATGGGCTGGAAACGGCCCAACGGAATAATGAGCCGTTAATGGGTATAAGGTGATACATTGTTCCTTACGGGCCAGTTTCACAACGGGTCGTTAATGGGTGTAAAGTGATACACTATTCATTACGGGCCAGTTTCACCACGGGCCGTTAATAGGCCAAGAGTTACAAAGGGCCTCATATAGGCCGAAAGACGTCATGGGCCATACATGGGCCAGAAGTGAAAACGGGCTGGAATCATATTGGATGGCCCAGTTGACGCTATTGGGCCTAATTCGGATAGGGCGTAAAGGGCCTTGGGTTAGCGGGCTGTAAATGGGCTATATGCGAACATGACGTTAACAGGCTTTCAATGGGCCGGGCCGCCACCTTTTGACCAAGTCAAACGGGCCGGCCTTTTCATAGGAATGGGCCTCTATTGGGCCGTGCCACGTGTCGAAGTATCATAGGCGCCTTCTGTCCAATGAGTGGATGACATCTGTCCCAACGATGAGCCGACACGTGTTTCCGCCAGCCAATGATGATTTTACACGTGGAAAATCACCATTGGTCGGGTCTGTTAACGGGTTATCGGATCCAAAACCCGACCCGATAGCTTAACGGCATTCCATTACGGTGGATGACACGTGTTGGTCATCCTTGACGAAAGCACTTCTGTGACGCGCGATTTATCGTCATGGAAGTGGACACTTCCGTGATGATAATTTTGGTAATGTCATGGAACACTTCTACAACAGCACAGGTATGACTATCTTGATTCTGTCATAAATTTGTCATGGATGTACATGCATGACAAAAAACGCGACCTACTGTGACAAACACGTATCATCACGGAAGTGTATTTTTTTGTAGTGATAGCCATTATCTCGTGCTGGGGGGCAGCCTCTTGATCTGTAGAGTACCAACTTTATTTGCTAGATCACGCTGCAAGTCGTATGTGTATCTCGCAGCTGATGTATCCCTGCCTCTTCGGCGAGGAGGTGCGTGTTGGTGTTCGGTTTGGTATGCCGCTTTATCCTGTCCACGAGCTGGTCGGTCTGGCTGGTCTGCCTAATTGTATTTCGATGGTATTTGCTCAAGGGCTTCATCGTCGAACTGTGGCAGCAACTTGCGCTTAGGGTAACTTTTTACATGTCGCTTGTGGTCGTATTCCTCAGCGGCCACGACCTTAGTCCACCGTTCATTAAGCATATCATGTTCGGCTTTGAGCTACTGTTGTCTCTTTTTCAGGCTCCGGGCTGTAGCAATAAGTTGTCGCTTAAAGCGTTCTTGATCGAGGGCTTCTTCTGGGACGATAAAATCTTCGTCGCCGAGGCTGACCTCCTCTTCGGACTCTGGCATTTAGTTGTTGTCCTCCGAATCTTCATGATCGGCGTGTTCGGGGCTATGTTCACCCTCTTCCCTCTCGTCCTGTTCGGACGTCGGTTTGACAAGGTATTCGGGATCTTCGGCATCATCCGGAGTCTCATTGTCTTCGGGTCTGGTATTACTGTCCTTTGCCCGACGCGATCGTTAGCGGTGCCACTGACGTCGGTGCTTTGGTGGTTTGTCAACGGGTTTGTCCTCATCGGGGATCTGGTTATCCTCGTCATCCTTTTTGTCAGGAGTGTCCACCATTTATACATTGTAACTTGAAGTGGTCGTCCAACGTCCAGTGACGGGTGGGGTCGGGTTTACTTCGACGTCGGCATCGTCGTCCATACCGTCAATTTCTTCGGACGCGTAGTCTAGCATGTCGGTTAGATCCTCGACAATGGCTATTGAGTGGGTGGTGGGTGGGGAGTAAAATTCCCCGCTCTCAGCCCCTAGCTCAGGCTGGGTGCAATTCAGAGGTAAAGGCTCCGTGATGGCGAGAGAATGTATCAATCCCAATGCTTCGTCTAAAGGCGAAGGCTAGACAAAAAGCTACGGGTCTGCGGGGCTGAGTTCGGCATGAGGCGCCGTATCAAGCCCGATCAATGCAGACCTCGACAGTTCGGAGTAAACATCCAGAGGCAGGTCGATGCCTGTGTACAGGTCGCCAGTAGGGTGCTCCACAAAAGGAGAGAGTCCGGTGGGGCTGACGCTCCTGTCCTCGAACGATGCGATCTGCCCTGGATCTAAGGTCGAGGCAGATGTAAGGATTGACCTTTGAACGAGGTCCAGTGGAGGATCCAAAGATTTTTCTTTATGGAGAAGGGGGGCGGCAACTGAGGCCGCGAACCCTTTGAAGATTAGATCTCCTCGGATGTCCGCGATGTAGTTCAGGTTTCCAAACCTGACTTGGTGGCCGGGGGCATAACTATCGACCTGCTCAAGGCGGCCGATCGAATTGGCGCGAAGCACGAAGCCGCCGAACACAAAAACTTGCTCGGGGAGAAAGGTTTCCCTGGACGAGTTGTCATCGTTGATGAAGACACGAGCCATCGATCCCGTTGTCGACGGTACAGCGGAGCTCTCAATGCAAGCACCAATGTCGGTGTCAAAACCGGCAGATCTCGGGTAGGGGGCCCAAGTTGTATGTCTGAGGACCGAAGGTAACTATGAACAAAGGACGCAGTGTTTACCCAGGTTCGAGCCCTCTTAATGGAGGTAAAACCCTACTCCTGCTTGATTATATTCGAGGGTATAGAGGTTACAAGAGTTGATCTACCACGAGATCAATTTGGCTAACCCTAGATTAGCTAGCCTAGCAATGTTATGATTCTGCCTCCGATCTATCCTCCAGTTTATATAGACACCGGAGGGGCTTAGGGTTGTACAAAGTCGGTTTTACAGAAAGGAATAATATATCCGGACATCTATTGCCATCGATGCATACGGGAGTCCTCACCGGACACGAGAGGTGGTCTTCTGTCTTGTATCTTGATGGCCCATCAGTCTAGCCCACATCCAATCGACCGACGCCCGGGGACCCCCTAGTCCAGGACTCCCACAGCCATCACTGCCACACAAGAAGTCGCGCCACATCACCATTGCCGGATGGACACCTGCCGACCGCAATGCTGCGAGCGTCCAGTCCATGGAGCGCGCAAATGGGATCAAATGCTCTTCAAAACGACGCCCCAAAGAAGGAAGTGAGGATGTCAACGCCGCTGCCCGACCCGACTGGGCCTTAGGCTTTACCCGAAGAGCTGGAACAGAGGGTGTGCAGGGAATGGACTCCACAGTGTCACCTCCAAGAAGGTGACACGACGTCCACGGACACCGACGCCATCGGCCAGTAAGACCCGACAAGCTTTCGTCCGGAGCATCGTCCAACACCACACCCACACGCATAGCACCGCACAGCTAACCCGCACACATCCCACGTAGTCATCGCGCCATGACCCAAGTAGAAGCCACCACAAACCTCGCCGATGGCTAGAAGGCGTCGTCGAGCCCGATCTCACCGAAAATGGCCAGATCTGGCATCCCACCGCCGCTGCAACACTAGGGAGGCAACCAAAGGCCGGCACACCGCTGGACAGCGCGAAGACGAGCCCCACAGAGCAGGAAGGGGAGGCGGCGCTCGCCCCGGCTTGCCGAAGATGAGTGTCTGAGCCGAAGAACCGGAGCCCGCCGATGAAGCAATCACGACTGCCACCCGCGAGAGACGCTGCTAGGAGCCGCCAAGCCGGAGAAGAGCCCCAGAGGCCTACTGGCGCCGCTACTGAGGCCACTGGCCCGCCTGGAGCCACCAAGCCACGCAGCCGAAACCTCCCCTACCTCGAGCGCCCGTTAATTAAATAGAAAAAAGAAAAGAGAAACCCCATCTAAAATAAATACATCGTCAGCATGGCTTCCTGGATTCAGTTTCACTTCACACAAAATTTCACCCCCAAAACGCATATGCTTGCAAAACAGAAACTCCTTCCACCCTTTTTTTGTCACTCTTCCAACTCAAATCTAGTGCTCACTACTAAGCAGCTATGCTCAGTAAGTACACTGCTTACTGCATTGGGTATTACCTTGTTGCTTGCAATCTTCGCTCGCAGCACCTCACCCACTAAATTAATTTGATTGCTGCAACAACACGCAAAACAACAATAGAAACTTTATTCATTCTGCCCAGATGCAACAACAATCAACCAACCAACCATGTTAACCATCCTGCACAAAGAAGCCTGTCATCTACAGCTGCTTACACGCTTCCGAAATTTATATACACATACATCTGCACTCTCCGGCAACAGCTAGCTGCATATATACTCCTATAGCCCCTACAGTACAGTACAGTACAGTACAGACTCAAGCAAGGCCCTTCTGTTTAGCTTACAGCTACTACATGTTTCCTGCACAAACACTTATATTGCATCACCATCCCCCGCTCGTCTTGCTCTTCGCCTCGCCGCCTGCTTCTGCCAGTTTGCAGTCGCTTTTTACGGCCCTTACCCACGAATCCACCTGCCACACCACGAAACGCACGACAGCAAAAACTTATATTAATGCGTGCATGGCACTGCGATGGATCATTCACATAAATAAATTCCCTTCTAAAGATCGCTGTTTCGGTTATAGGGGAAACCACTGTATTACTCACCTGTATCTCGCAGCTGCTCGAGCACTCGAACCTCAGGCCCTGCCGGGTCAGTATGAAGAAGGCGTATCTCGTCTTCCCGTCCTCCGGCACAAAGTTGGGGAGCTGCCCTACCTCCACCACGTCGCGCAGCAGCGTCGATTCCTGTGGGCTCAGGTCTGAAATGCATCGTCAAGTTTTCACCACCGTCAGACTCAAGTTCAGGTTCAGTATGCCAAAGAACACGACAGCAAGAGATATGTCATTCAGGTTCAGTATGACAAAGGAAACGTCACCAACAGAAATGTGGTTTTTAGAGCCTATGAGCAAGTATGATGTGTATTCATCTGTAACTTGATTACTTGAATTCAGGTTTAGCATGGCAAGAAGAGCAGCGTATTCATCTGTGATTGGATGACCATGACCAGTATGTCAAAGGCTTCATCTTACCTGTAGACTTCAGATAGTAGTATAAACACTGTCCTTGTAGGACAACAAAGCGAGGAAGCCAGTCATCGACATCGGCGTCGTCTATGATAGGTGGCTCCCCAGGAAGCTGAGTCCATCTCTGCAACGCACAAGAGATCATTTAGAGTCATCGGTCTGTTGAACAGCTGTCCCACGAATGAAGCTGTTTTTGGGGCAAGCAAACAACAGTGCACTGGTTTCTTACGTACACTTCTGATATGGAGGTACCCGGAAAGGCGTGCGTATCTCAAGACTTCATCAATATTTTCTAACCTGCAATGCTAAACTGTATGAATCACATCTGACAGAGAAAAGAACAAATAATATAGACAAACATTTTGGTTCAGGTGAAAATTCACACGAACGTTGAGGCTAAATATCGAAGGGGTACTTCATCATACCGGGCTTTTAGCTGGGACTCCCTTTCATCGGCATCGGCGATTTCGCTTCGTAATGATTCTACTTCAGCTCTGGTCAACTCGATCTGATAAGTCATAACAGCGGAAAATGTTAGCATTACCACAATGAATTCAGGATACAAGACAGAAACAGAGGCCATATTATGTAATTCCTGTATACTGATAAAACATTGCAACCTTGTCGTCATCCTCGTTGCTGGAAGACCACCTAATGCGAGGGATAGACAAGAGTTGCAGAAGCGACGAAGCTCCCTTGACTCGTTTCGGGGTCCAAGTACGCCTACGCGGACTATTTATTACAGGACAGGGACAGCAAGCGTGTCAGTACACCCAGGATTAAAGGAAGAGGTCGAAAATTTAAACAAGCCTTTGACAGCCATAGTTGGTTCTGCCATCAGTATCATCACCTTGGTGAGGGATCCATGTTGCTCTTACTTGTGGACAGACCATCGGCAGCGTCCATGGGCTCTTTCTTGGGCGTGAAGTGCTGCGGGAAGACCTCTATTCTTCCGTAAACATCATCCATCCAACGACGCGGGTGCTAGAAGAAATTGCATAGTCTGTTTAATGGTACATTGCAGTGTAGAATTAAGGATCGTAAGACAGTTTCGACAGCGAAGTGGTTTGCTACATACTAGTATTAGAGTATTTCCGGTACAAGCATCTGTTAGATGCATAGTTTGTTTATGTCATATGGTAGTGCAATGTGTAACGTAGATAACGAGTGGTACGACAACTTGGTACTGGATTGAAAGCAATTAGGCAGTTGAGTATAGGTATTCCACTAATTTTTGTGTGCAAAAAGGAAGCTTGGGAAAATAGTCCAGGCATCGATTGAAAGCCTCAGATTACTACCATGAGTGTGTTTGGGTGCTGTTGGTTATCAGGATCTGATAAGAATCGCTGGTGCTGGTGCTGGGCCTAGGGTAGAGCAGGTATCTGAACATAGTGGTACTAGTACTGTAGTAGTGAGTATTTGTCATCTGAAGTGAACATAGAGGCCAGCTGATTTGGTAATAAGACAGCGGGACAAGCCTGGCTAGTTGTGTAGTGGCTGAATTAAGAGGGTCAGCTGTTTGTTTGATTGATTGATTTGATTCGTAAAAAGAGAGAGTGGTAGTCTAAATCACGGCTGAAATCCAGGATTATATATATATCTAATGGATACTAATTCCTAGTGCAAGTGCGGCCTGTAGAGCAACAGCGTCTCGTGTGGATGATATAGGTCGGTAACAAGCGGTAGGGCGAGGTCCGTCGGATTGGGAGGTTGAGATGGAGCGAGGAAGGAAGCAGGGGATGGGACGAACCTTACCTGAGGTGGGGAGAAGGGAACAGAGGAGCCTGGCCCTTCACTTGAACGGCGGGCGGAGATAAGATCTGGATCGCGTGGTCGCCGGGGAAACCGAGGCGAATCGATGGATTGGTGCGGAAGGAAGGAAGGGGAAAGCTGGGCTGGTGGGGGAGGAAGAAGACGATGGTGCCAGGTCAGAGTCAGGTCGGAGTCCAGCGCGACCACGTTCCGGACCGGACCGGACCGGAACCGTGTACGTTTTGTATTTGGGCTAACGCTGGCCTGGCCCAATCAACCACTTGCTAATACTAATACTTTAGGTTATAATATAATAATGTTTCTCCCTCGCGCCAAGGGATCCATTCCTTCTCCACAACAAACACACACTACATTACATTACATACATGTAGCATGTAGACACAGAATAAGGTTTCATCATATTTATTCATGGGGATTCTCAGCTCCAAAAATAAATAAATAAATAAAACAACCACGCCGTCTCCGGGATTTCTTCAAGAAGGCTTAGACTTTCTTTTCGACCCGATTGTAATCAGGTTAATAGAAAAAAAATCCAACATTTTCATTACAACTAATAGAGGTGGTCGTGCCCCGCGCCTCTCCAAAACATACCACATGTTTTTCTTTTCCTCTTTGTGCTGGAGTAGAGACGCCCGTGGAATCTCTGACTCGCGGAAGATGAAGAACAACCAATCCACCACATACTTATCCATATCAACATTGCGTATTACAAAATGAAAGGATAAATAGCATCATCCCCTTTAGGGCTTCTGTCCACTACGGCGGCTGCCCTAGCGAGAACAAACTACATTGAGATCGGATCGGAATCCACCCCTAACGACAGATCGGGGCGATCAATATGTGTCTAATTAAGGGGAGGGCGACCAGGAAGAGGATAGTGCAGATACTTCTTGCACTATGGCCAACGAGGGTTAGACGACATCTAGGGTTGATGGAGGAGGCGAAGGCATAAGGTAGGAGGGAAGTTGATAGCGGCGGTGGAAGAGGAGAGTCTAGGCAAAACACATAGGACATCTCAGAGAAATAGGGGGATGATGATAGTGCCTCTCAGGCGGATTTCATTGATGAAAAAAAATTGAAATACATGCACCTAACGGATGAGTAGGAGGAAGATGTGATCCTAGAGGAGGACTTGGAGCAAGATGCAGAGTCCATGGCCCTGGCCCATGTTGTCTATATAAGGCACGGCTAGGATAGGAGTTAGCCATCCCATCTACTCTTGTCGAAACATGCTCTCGGTAGCCATACATCGTCTCCATTGTAATCTCTTGCACGAAGTACTCCATCATGAATACAAATTAGAAACACGACGTAGGGTATTACCTCTCCCAAAGGGCCCGACTCTGCGTAACCCCCCTATGCGAACTCACATCTGGTACTTCCGGTCGCGTTCACGACCCTACCGAGGGTACTGACGATTCTACCTACCGAGGGCATTGATGACTCTACGTACCGTCACTCATTCAACTCCTTGAGATTTTCTTCCTTACCATAATGACATTGATCATTTTATTTTAAAAAAGCACATCTAATCTGTTACGAGCCCAATCAGGTTTTTTAGGGAGATATCACTCATGAACTGGCTCCAACCATGAAACGATTTCATTAATCTATCCAGATTATTTGCCACATCCTCCAAATCCTCTACATGAGAACCTTTATTCCTACACGCCTTGATCTGACCATCCAAAGCCAAACATTCCCTCTCCCAATATGATTCATATCTCAAATGCTTAACAATTTTACCGATGCGAGGATAACCGAACAGATGAATAATAAGGGCAATGGTCTGACCTGGAGCTGATAATGTGAGAAACCTTGAAATCAGGGAATAAAGAAGACCACTCGGGGCAAGTCATCGCACAATCAAGACACACCTTCACATCTATGGTGCCATCTTATTTTACGTCCATGGAACATCTAGGAAGCCCAAATCAAATTAATCACATTCAGAAAGCACCTCTCAAGCCGGCGCAGGTCCGCCTCGTCTCCGGTGGCCCTAGGGCCATGGAAGCGCGGTGGATCATGGCAAGGGCCGGCGGGAGGGCTCCGTTTTTAGTCGTTTTTTTCAATCTTGTTAGGGTTTGTGTCCTACTCAGGAAGGCGAGACGGCGGCGGCTCCCTGAAGATGGAATAAAGGTCTCCCCGCCTAGCCCCCGTTCCGGCGGTGCGTCTAGCATCGTTGGTGGGCGTGTGGAGGTGTGTCTCCAGCAGATCTATCTTTGGTGGATTTGCTCGGATCTGGTCGATGTTCGTCTATGTTTGTGTGTCTTCGGTTTGGATCCTTCCAATCTACGTTATTTTTCATCGGCGACGGTTGCTGTTCTGGGGTGCTGGTCCTATGGGGCCTTAGCACGACGACTTTCCAACTGTCTACTACAACAAGTTGTGCCCGATTCCGGTGATGGAGGGGCGATGACGACGGCACGCCTTCAGCTCGCTTCAGTGCTTGTAGTCGTCGCTAGATGGTCTACGGATCTAGATGTAATTTTTATTTCTGGTGTTCGTTGTACTGCCATGATTGAAGATGAATAGATTGGAAGTTTTTCCAAAAAAAAAAGCACCTCTCAAAAATTAGCCATGAGCTTACGTGACCTTGAGCTGTTTTAGTACAATCCGCTAAAAAGATTAAAAGGGTATTTTTCGTCCATTACTATTTCCTAATTGAGTTTACTTAATAAGTATTATCAGGTAATTAAATGATTTGATCCATCTCTACGCATACTATGCACGTGGATCCAAACTCAGAAGCATCTCCATGTACTTCAAAAGAAATTCACGTAAGTTGTGCAACCTTGCAATGGCGGAACGTTAACTGCCAATAGGTGTCGCTCCAGCAAGGAAGTCGTCCATCTAGGGAATTAGAAATAGATGGGAATAAATTTTGGTTAAGTACTATAATCACATGTATTGGTTGTTTGGATTGATCCTAAGGGGCAAGACCAATAGGTAATCCTTTTTTTAGGGGTGACTCGGCAAGGTCCGCAAGGATGCCGAGAGCATGAGCGCCCCTACGGCCCTTTTTTTAAGAAGCGCAAGATACCTGTGTAATTCGTTTAGAGGAAAATGACTGATAGCCAACTGTACAGGGCCCTACAGAAGTAGGAGGTGACAACATCTTGGAGAGGCGCACAAGTTCTGGGATTGTGAGAGGTTGACCCAGGCCTTGATAGATCCAACGCATCATTTCATGGCTCTTGATGGGGGTCATCATGTGCGTCCGTCAGTTAATTGGTAGCTTCCTTTGCCACATCATCGACATCGTTCTACTCTCGCATAAATTCCCTCATACTAACATGTAACACCTCTTTAGTCCCATCCACTTCCTCAGTTACATGAGTGACAAAAACAGCTGCTCCTAACACAGCCTCAATTCTCTCCATGCAAACTCTTTTACATGAGACACTCCTAAACTCTACACTCTCAGTCTCGGTACTACGGTTGTTCATGTTGAAGACAAGATCTTGGCCATGAGAGAGACGCCTCTTAGTACATGTAGTGCTCTCAAGTATAACAACGAATGCGACCTTGCGACTGAATGGTTCACTACCGCTGTTGGTGAAGAAGGAACCCCAAACTTGACATGCTTGACGCCTACGCACTACACCTCAATGCGCTCATCAGCTTCCTGCAATAACCTTGCCTAACTTCCTCATCAGCTTCGCAGCGACCTCGGTGGCCTTCCATGGCGGTCTACTTCCTCGGCTTGAGCATGTCGCCGACGTCCATCTTGACGAACCTCCCTCGCACCCTCGGCTGGTTGTCTGCCAGAGCCTTCCTGCAAGCATACTGCAGAGCACAGAATAGAAAGCATCTATCACTCTCTGATCTTCAATCTTCTTGCTGAATTACTTGTGTACTAGTAGAAGAAGAAAAGGAAGAGAGATTAGTTTGTGTACCTTGATCTTTCTGCCAAAGTTCCTCTGGATCTTCTTCTCCCTGTATCTGTTGAGCTTTTGTTTCCTTTCCTCACTTTTCAGGTCACTGATGGTCACAAGCCTCTCACCAGATGCGCACACATTTGCCGCGATCCCAATTGGAGGGGTGTTGGCACCAAGGATCTGTCAAAAAAAGAGGTAAAAAGATCCCATCTTAGGCTGTGTTGTGCTCCATGACCAATCGTAATCCATCTTTCCATTTTAGGGTGTGTTGTGCAATCTTGTACGGACCTTATTATAAATTCAACTACTGACTAG